GCCAAGCTGTCATTAAATCAACCATAAGCATTTTAGCCACATCAAATATTATTCAAAATTGTCGAGCTTCCCTCAATGACATAGCTAGACGTGTCGTGATCCAACTCATATAGGTTCCGGAACATAGGGACATCTCGCGCAACTGCAGCTTCCCAAGTCAGACGCTCTTCTCCCTGACATTTACTTCTTAGAAATAGGCGTTTCACTTGCTACAGTTAAAATGGCAATAAAACAAAATACCTGAGCATAGCCAAGCATCAATGAACAGCATTGGCAGACATCAAGGTTGATTTAGTCTAACTTGATTAAAAAACGCACTAGTCAGCTACTTCAACTAAGGCGGAACCTGCTCAGCACAACGGCAGCTGTGGTGACCTGTCACTGCGATATGGGAAGACATGCTGTGATACTGGGTCTACCCCATAATGATTTTTGTCGCGGCTGTGGCTATGAGAATGAGGAGGAGACCGTGCTCCATCTCATGTGTTAGTGCCCTTCTTTAGTTAGGAGAAGATTAAAAATCTTCGAAGCCTCTTTTATTATCGACCTGACCGAACTGTTATCCTGTAATATTAGGGCCAAATTTATAGAACTGTCAGGTTGGTTTTCCTTTACCTAATGGGGGAGTCGTTAATTTTTCTCGGCACAATGGTTCCATAATATGCCATTATATGAGCTCAAGTGAGTTTTTTGGAAACAAGGCCGCCACTGCAATCTACCTACATCGACTTGATATTACTTATATAGTTCTATATAATTATGATTTGTATAATAGTTAATATAAAATTGTTAGTGTCTAGTTTTTTTTTTAACATCCATTTTTCTCTTCACAGTATCACGTACACTCCGCTGTGTTGCGGCTCAATGGCTTCGATTGCAGTATGTGTGTCCTATCAAATGCGAGCATAATACAAACTACTTGCAAACAGCATGAAACATTGCAAAGACAACAAACGCAGGAGCAACTTATGCCAACACACAATATAGAACAGAAATATAAGGAAAGCACAAGTGGTTCCACAACATCGAATCCAATTAAAATATCCGTAACAATACCGATGCCAACAACAGTTGGTGCAGCCTCTGAAGAAAATCAAAAATCATTACCTCGACTAAATCTATCACCAATCTATTTGCAACCGCCAACCGAATACCCTGGTCTCAATATAACTGCAGTTAGTGGCTTAAGCGCACATCGTGGTTCTACCCTTTCAAACTCCTTCAATTGTCTAAGCACAAATTACATGTACAATAGTACTGGCAGCACAACATTATTTGGTCATGAAACTGGTACAGGTATGAGACGATTCAATCAAACTTCCCACTCTGATTCACACTTGGAGACACAAGCGCATTCCAAAAACATTTTCAATTTCAACCACGACTTCATGCTGCAACCGCAAGAAACCACTACAGTCTGCAATACTAGACGACCACCTTTATCACCATACCGGGCACGTAGCCCTTCACCATTTCCAAGTTCAATGGATACACCGCCTTCATCACCACTTACACCAGTTGGTGTGCTTTATAATTTACCTTCTTTTCTACTCACGCCAATTTTACACTGGCTTTATACCGAATCATTGTTGCCAGAGATGGATGAGGATGTTTGCGAGAAATTAATCAATTTTGCTGAAACTCAACCTTCGCTAACAAAAATGGTAGAACCCACAAGGAAATATCTCAAATTGATAAGGCTCAAGAAATGTGAGTAATACTAGTTATACAGGGTGATGTATATGTTTGGATAATAAATGTTTTTATTACAGTTGTTATTAATATTATAATGGACTTGCATGGTATTTTAAATCGCATTATACAAACAATTAATCCCGTCACCATATCAAATGAACCCGCCACGTTATATGCGACCTTTCAGGATTGTTTAAGAGAATGTGCAATTGGTAAGGAAAATTATTTAAGTACAAATCTGCTAAAATTTGATTTGTTTAACTCTTCCAGGATGTGCCAAAGTTTTGCAGTTTTGCAATATATTCATAAAGGATGCGGCTGATATATCGCGATATCAGAAGAATGAGATTATTAAATATATACGCACACGTATACCTATTTTTATGTCTCAAGTTCAGCAATTACTTAGAAATATTTTAAATGTTTTTATTAGTTTAACTGCTGAGGAAAAAGCGGATTTAGTCAACTATTTAGTACCTGAAGTAAGTAAAAAGAAGTTCTAATTAAAGCTTAACACTTATCCTTAATAATATATATATTTTTTAGATTGAAACCACATTATTAAGTTTAACTAATGTGATAGAGGAAATCAAAAACTCTCTTGAAAAAATGTGCAAAGTAAGTAAACTACGAATTTTATATACAATATGTTAGATAGGTCTATCTCATAATTCTGTTTGGCTTCTTCACTATTCTGTTTTAAGGACTTAAAATGCTCACATTTAGATTTATCGAAAAAGCAAAAAACGGATGAAGTCGTAGCTATGCAAATACAAAATAATACATTTATAACCGCCAGTAGTAATTTAGATGAGAATAGTGTCACGAATTTGTTTAGTCAGCCACCATTGTCACCACGTCCCAGGCGTGGTCCACCAGTGTGTCTTGCGCTTTACGATAATCCAACGGAAAAGCAGCGCCTAATGTCTGCAGAAAATGATCTCAAATTCGTGCTGTACATGTACGAAGTTCGAAAGATGCGTGACATTTATGGCAGAATATCTGCGGCTCTAGATATTATTAGAGATAAAAAGTATGTTCCAATATGAATATTATATTAAGAGAATTTATTTGAATTTCAATTTTTTCCTTTTGTGACAGAATAATTTACTGTGAAATGGATTACTTAAGTAAATGTAGCACCATTAATCAAAATCTAGAACAATTAATTGTAGATCTACCGGCTTATATATTAATTGTGGAAAATCTGTCGGACCGCTTAGATGAAAAATTGGGTTGGAAAGAATTTAAATTTTGCTTTAAATTGGCAACTAGTCAAATAGTAAGTTTTGCTTAAGACAAGCACTGTATTTTTTAAATGAAGTTAATTATATTGATCTAGTATCTGTGTTACTGGTATAATATCAATATATTCTTATTTAGTAATAACCCTAATAAGTATTATATATTAAGTTTGTGTTTGTGTTATTTAAATAAATAATGTTTTTATCATATAAAGTTATATATAACAAAATTTACATATGATTTTATTTTATAGAATGGAGTTATAGTCAAGTTATTCGACCATAAATCCGCGCTTAAAGATCCTATCAATGAAGTAAGTTGATAAAGTAGTCATTAGTTTTTAATTGTTTTAATTTTCCTTAATTAATACTTTAAATAGGTTTGTCGAATTGTTAAGAAACAAGAATTTACACAGTCACTTTTGGAATTGGGACTATTGGAACCATCAAATATTCTGCAAAATGAATTAAAACTAGCGGGCTATGAAAGCAGTCTGGAAATGAATGTAGATGATGTGACAATACAACGCAAACCAACTGCTTATGATTATAGAAATGTTAAGGTACAAATTCTCAATTAATCATATAGTAGAGCTAGTTATCATGAAATTATACTATATAATATAGTGTTTCTGCTATGAAAATTTTAGTAAGGCACTCATGATTTTAGTATCGCATTAGTAAACGAATCTACTATTTTTCATGGATATAAATATTTAATTTGATTTAAGATTCGTATTACTAACCACTTAAAACGTCAGAAGAAGATTATGAATACCTTTTCATCTCTAGTATATATCTCTAGTATATAAAACATATATCACTTAATCTAAGCAAAATTTTTAGCTACAGAGGGGTTGTGTACTAGATCCACTCGTTATGCACAAATAAAATGTTTTCCATACCTCTCTTTGGAGTTACACTACACTATTTACAAAAGGCATTCATAAGAACATTCTTCGTCTTTGCCTAAAAAAGTAATAGATTTTATTTGTGATACAGTTAGAATAAGTCAAGGATGAATTGAGGTGGCGTACATATCATCTTTAATTTGATTAAACGCAAGTACCATAACAATTTTAATCTGGAAGAATAAAGAACCCACCGTATTAGTAGGATTTTCTATAGTTCGTAATGATATAAAAGGATTCGGTACTTAAGACTCGGGAATCTCTATTGAAACTCTGTTGAAGAAAAAAAAGTTTAAGTAATAATCTTTTAAAATATTTATTATATTCCTTTTTTTGTAGTTAAACTTAATACGTCATCTTTGCGAGCCACCGATAGCAGCACATAGTAACTTGTCAAAGAATGCTTTACGTTTACTGCACTCTGCACAATTATCTGATATGGAATTTGAAGTCCAGACTTATAGTGCAAACACTCAAGTACCAGGTATTACTGTTTTAGGAAAAGAGGAGCTTGAAGTGCAACAAATGCGTGGACATTTAGAGCAAACACCAGTGGCACAACGTGCAACAATGCAATTGCATACGTTCAGAGCGCATCGGGTTATTGTTTCCACAAGGTATTTTAGTTTAATTTAAAAAGAGAGCTAAAAAAAAAAATTATTTATAAATTTCTTATCCACAGATGTGAATGGTTTAAGAAGGCACTCTTATCGGGTATGCAAGAGAGTATTACCAGGTTAGCAATACATATAAATTAATTAAAAATGTAGTTACTAAATTTTTTTCTTATTTGCGCAGAAAAATTGTTATAACTGATACAACGCCTGTTATATTTCGTCGTTTGCTGCTTTATTTATACGGTGCTCCTATAGACAAAACTGTTGGAGCTGAACAAATTTGTGAATTGATGTTGTTAGCTGATCGTTATTCAATTGAAGATCTTAAGGTACGCATTCATTTTTAAACTAAAAAGTTGATTATAAACAAATTGCTGACAGCAGATGTCAAAGCCGAACCATTAAATATACATATAACTCAATGCCTACAACACGTTTCCTAAAAAGACTTGGTCAACTGTGTATTTTGAAAAGTTTTATAAATAATATAGTTCATTTATAATATAGTTCAATATGGTTCTTTTGGATCATATAATAGTTAAGTCAATTAAGGGACTTATTGGGAATAGATTCAATATGCGATCAGAAACTCTTTGATAAGTAGAAATACTCAAGCTTAAGTTTTGCTACATAGTTCTGTAGAGGGAAGTTGTCTTTCTTCTCGAGAAATATTAACCAGAAGCCTATTAGAATTATCAATTAAATGATAAGAAGATAAACAATTGATATGATAGACTGATCGTTTCCGTTTTGTACTGTTGATAGAATTGAATACAAATGTAGATGATCAGATTATTAGTCAAACAATATGTTATTATCGTTATAATTACTTATCTTTTCATTTAAGTTATTTATTATATACATTTTATATATTATTATTCTTTCATTACTAATTAATGTTTTGCTTGTTTTCAGGAACTTTGTGAAAACACACTAAATTCACTAATCGATGAGGATTCCGTAATGTGTTTACTGGGTATAGCGGATCATTATATGGCTGGAGTACTTAAATCAAATTGTCTTTCATTTTTGTCACAACACTCAGTTTTAACAAAATCTGAAATGTTTAAGGAATTGCCACAAGCCTTACAAGTAAGCAATCAAGATTTCTAATTAAGTAAACATTATTCTTATGTTTATATATCCTTTTCCAGTTGGAAGTTATGGACTTAATACGTTGGTATGGTCGTGTATCAGAACCATGGAGTGATGGTTTTAAATCGCGTAGTGGTTCTCGTCATAGCTTGAAAAGTCCATCAAAACCACGTTCAAGGTCTCGCAAGTCTTCGCCGTCTTACATTTGACGCTGACTGATATTTATTCGATTACTTCTACACTAAACTGGAATTGGCTAATGGTTAGTTTTTTATTCATATTCTATTATTTTCGATGTTCTATGTTATGTTAATCTATGTTTTATTTTCAGCACGCAACTGTAAGCAATGGAATTTGTCGTAGCGTTCATATTATAAATTGCTACACTCATATCAAATGTTTCTGCTCCATTTGGATTGCGAGCTAAGCATAAATACTCCTTTTCTACGTTTATTAAAATAGTTAAAATAGTTTTTAAATATATGTAAACTAAATCATAAGATATATTGAAATTGAAAAAAAATTTTAAACGATTTTCTAGAATTTTTTATTTAATTCCGCACAAAATAATAAATATAAAAAATAATATTTACATTTATATTTATATAAAATTTTGCATATATACATATATATAAAAATATAATATTTGTAATTTTTGTGTGTAAGTCCTTAAAGAAATTCGATTAATTATTAATTATTACGATTACCAGCGTAAATTGTACCTTTAACAAATTTTTAAAATTAACATTTTTTTAACTTCCCCCTTTTTTATTTATTAAATATTACAGAAATTTATGTATTATGTATTTTATCAATGTTTTATTTATAGATTTTTTTCTTAAATTTAATATTAAAAATATTGTATGTATGTGTATGTGAATTGTTAAAAATTTAATAAATTTTTTAATGAATTTATCTTAAATTTTCATATCTTTAAAAATAAGTTAAAATTTTTAAAATTATATTCCGTGTTGAATTTATATGTTAAACAATAAAAACTCTTTTTAGCTACTTAGTAAATTAAATTAAATACTTTTTAAAAAAGCATTAATAATAGCAAGTCATATAAAAATTTATATATACACATATATATATATAGATGTATATGTATATATATTAAATGTATTTATCGAAAATTTTATGGAAAATATTTTTATTATAACAATTTTTCAAACTGTTTAAATCGTATTTATTGTGAATGTATTTATATTTCTAATTGTAACTGATTATATATGTATAGCAAACTTATATATGTATATGTCGTATATACTATATATAAAAGTAATTAAAAATTCTTAAAAGTGATGTAAATTATACTATGAATATATTTATTGTTGTCTTTAAAATTCTTCAAATAATAAAGCTGCAAAATTTACAAAACCCCTTAAAATGTGCTTATTAAATTTTACTGATTTTATTAAGTTGGGAGCTACAAGATCCTGGAATCGAAAACAGAAGGTAACAATGTATCTATTCGCATGTAATTTGATAAAGGCTAGCGCAATTCTAGTCGGGCTCAAACCTAGTTTTTATAAGCTTCCACTTAGCTTTCTAGAATAGTTACCAGGAACCTGCTGGTTGTTGTAATAGAGAATGGATCGAATCTTATCTTCAGGCCTTATACTTCAAGCATGAGGTATACGCATGACTTAACACTTGTCATGTTAATTCAGCAGTCTAGTAGAATGGTTAGAACCAAGGGCCATAACCGAGGTCTCGTTTTAGCAATAGGGTTAATATTGAACACGCTGAATCTCTTTAAGCTTGACGACAAGGTGCATGTATGAAGAATGATAAGGATTGGAGAAGGTGGTGGAATATTAAAGATAGTTAGTTTAAAGCTAGAAGTAAGTTACTTGTATCAGTTATATTTATTTAATTTAGTATCAGTTAGAAAAAAAGGATAGTAGGACCATATTTTAAACGGAATGATTAAATTAAGTGAGCACTAACCGCACGGAAGAAGAGGTGTTCAAAGTAGAAATGAGAGCTGTGTTCAGTCGATGTTATTCCTAGGTTGTTAGGTCAAATTAAGTAAGTAATTTTTTAATTCAAATTAATATTTTATTAATAAAAAAATGTAAAATAACTATAAATAAACATTCTATATTAAAATTTTAATAAAAGGATGTACGGATCAAAGATGAGTACTCAGTCGACGATAGCCGTAAATTATTAGAGCAAACTAAATAAATAATTTATTCAATTCAAGTTTATCAATCAAGTATTCAGTGAAGAAAAATTGCAAAAAAACTACAAAAAAATAATCGATCTTCCAGTTTTTTCTAAGAAACTCCAAAAATTTATTTCAGAACTGACAATTCTATTTGTGATACAAAATTTGAAAACGTCTGTTCTAATTAAAAAGATGTTCAAACTGAAATCCCTTATTGAAATCAGAATTTACAAGTTGTTTGCAACACTTACATGCTCTTCAAGTGGCCAATTCCTGCAGGCAGGGATTGTCCTTTGAAATTTGCAATTCCAATTTTACGATTTGGCTTGATTTGGCTGCCGTCTCGACTTTTGCTATTTATGGGCTGCAGTTCAATTTTCGGATCTACTTTTAAGTACTCAATGCACTTTACATGTTCAAATATTATTGGGCGTCCGTGACTGCGTCTGTCAGTGTGTCAGTGTGTGGGTGCTTGTTTATATCTGAGGGCGCTTAAGTGTATTTGTGAAACTTTTGTTTATCCTTGTTTTTGCTCTCCATTTTGCAGCGTCACGTGCAGCCATTGTGAGCCTTTTTATTTGCCTGAGCCTTTTCGTCTTGTAACTGCATTTGTATGCGTTTATTTGTCTATTTTTTGATTCATTTTCGTAAATCCTCTGCTGCTTTTTCTTCTGGGATTTAGTTCTGCACTCATCAAATATTCCATTTTTTCCTTTATTTTTTGCTTTTTCCCTTTAATTTCTGTCTTATGCTGCTTTCAAGTGGGCTCAAGTGTTTGTATGCTAAGTACACTTAAAGCGGATAAGCGCCACCGCACTTGCATTGCATCCCCGGCGTTTTTCGTATAGTCGGCGTACTGTTAGGATTGCCAGCATCACTCGCCCACTCCATTAAAATCTGCCGACTCACTATGCCAGCAATTGTCCAGATGTGCCTCCTGACACAATTTGCTTGCATCCGTGCACTTGCCTTGTGCCCTTTGTTATATTGGTGTTGGCCATGGTTTTGGATGTATTACGTTCCTAGGAAAATACCTTTCGATTTGTGGTTTGTATTGGTACACAGAAGCACAGTTCGATTCTTAGTTATCTTATGTGCCAGCTGCTTTTGTTTGTGGATGCTGGCATGCGGCAAGGATACCAAACGATAATTAAAATGACAAAGGCAACCTTTGAGGTTAAAGAACACAAATAATCATTGCCAGAGAGTGTGTGTATGTGAATGCTTTTAAGCGCTTCACTGCTTAATGAGCACGTTTAACGAATGAATTCTTTCCACGTAACTCTCTGATAAATCGATGATACTGATACTGGTACATTAAAAAGAAATCAATTTCAAAGATTAATTACATAATTTTTAGTTGGAAGGAAATGGTTTATAAAGGCAGATAAGAGTTAATTACTAGAAACATTAACTTCAAAGTAAAAACTAATGATAACCAAACAGAAGAATAGGCATATAACGTCTCTCGTCTTCATCGCTTAAGGTCGAGAAATTATGCAATTTATACGGTCAAATGTATTCTTAAGATTTAAAGATCAAGTATCGAAAACTGCTTAAAAAGAAACAAAGACACTGTATTATCAACAAACTGGCAGAGATTTGGTAGGGCGTTTTAAAAAATTGCCTGTTTATTTCTAAGCGGTCTTTTTCTCTTTTATAAAGCAGCTGAATACGGAATCCATGTGTGAGTCAACAGTCGTTACGTTAACCAAAATTGACGATTAACTATACTCGATAATGAGAATTGTCTAAGCGGCTTTGAAGTCTACCCTTTCCAACAAGGTCACTATCAACGGAAACATTAGTTATCCTGCAAAAGGCTAAATTAGCCAACTCATCACGTTGATATTGATGGATAAAGTACCTATATTACTAGTTAAAATTCATTCCGAATCTGATTACCGAAGAGTAGCGCACTACACTACATCTCATTAAATTTTTATTCAATCATTATAAGATTGCCAGTGGAGTATGGTGCAATTTAAATAGACTATGCAGATCAACAGCAGAAACTAACGCAGAAAAACGACCCAAACTGTTCACGCAGCCACCCGCAATGGACTATCACCAACATCCTTTCTTACAAAGCCGTGATGACTCCTCTAGAGTCCTATCGTTTATTTGAATTTTTTTTATTTTAATTAGAAATTAAGCAGGTATGCATCTATTGTTGATCATTAGCATTTTAAAAACCTCACATCACTGTGAGTGAACATAAATACGCTCGTGATATAGTTCTACTATTACACAGACAATTCACAGCAACTACCGCATATTCTTTCTCAGAACGCACAACAATGACGTTTAAAGTTCAAGTAAAAAGGTACGTTAAGTGGAGGGAGATAAAATCCATCTTAAGTAATCAGAATTATTTCTGATTTCATTCTTTGTAAGTTTGGAACAAATATTGGACTTTATGTAATCAGTGGACGCTGTGATTAACATAAAAATATCTATGAGGATGATGTTGTGGTGTGAGTTGAAGAATTTAAGGCCCATATACTTCAGTCTGCATATAGAAAAGCCTCAAGATTTAATAGAAAACTTACAGCACTTAGCTTCAGCCGTTTACCATATATTGTTCAGTATTATGTAACAATCGACATTATTTTAGATACTTCTAGCTAGTTATTTCGTGTTAAGTCAGATGTTTTAAATTTAGGGTAGGTAGTTCATATCATCGTTAACTTGTCTGAAAATACACGAGTAAACTAATTACTGTCATTCTAAACATATATTTTTCTTCATCTGTAACTAAAAGAAAAGAAACTGATAGGGGAGGTTCTTTCAAAGAAACATTAAGTGCCGCTCATTATTGTCTTTGTTCCTTGGTATACTTGTTTGACTGGAAGTCCAAGCTAAAGCAATATTAAGATGGCTGCTAATACGTGAATATTTTGTCTAGATTTACAAACTACTTTAAATGAGTTATTGATTACTAAAAAAGGTTTGATAACAAACTGACTATCAGTGAGAATCTATACTTCCTTTTTCTGGAAGGTATACTGTATAGACATCCCGTGGTCTATACAGTATAGGTACTTCAGTTCCTGTGGCGCTATTGATTTTGATGTTTTAACGTTGTAGCTTACAATTAATTTTTAAAATCAATTTTTGGTGAAACTAAATCCATTAGGGTTGATATAAGAAAATTAATTAATGAAACTATGCGTTAAATCAGTACTTCCGTATTGCTAGACCTGCTACACACATATATATACCTCAATGCATATTATAATCCAAGTTAAAACTACAAATATAAACATAAGCTGTTGATTAAAAAGGTTAAAAGAGATCCATATACATATCG